AAAAAAAAAAAAAAAAAAAAAAAAAAAAAAAAAAAAAAAAAAAAAAAAAAAAAAAAAAAAAAAAAAAAAAAAAAAAAAAAAAAAAAAAAAAAAAAAAAAAAAAAAAAAACTGATTCGCGCTGCAGCTAACCCAATGGTAATTATGAACATAATTTTACCCAAATTAATTGGTTTGTATTTATTTTATAAAATTTATATTTTCCGATGAATGCCTATTTTAAAATTGCTCTGAGTTCCGTAGCCAATAAAATAAATTGGAGCTTTTTATTTTAAATGATAATAATTTTAAGCAATTTATGTCAGCTCGTGATCCCAACGGTAGACTATTTATAACGTGTCCTTCAAAGATCATCCATATTTTGTTTTTCCTACTTAATCTGGTGACTGGTGGAGTTATAGATAAGCAAGTCAAGCACTCAACAAAAATGTTTACGGGCATCGGCCGCTAGATGGCTTCGCTTCGATTAGTTTCTCATTGCTTCCTGTAGATGACATTAACATAAAACCTATCCTACATTTTATTTTTAAAGAAATGTAATGTAAACTTTCAGAAACCACAAATTGATAAAATTTAATAAATTTGTCTATAACAAATAAATACATGTATGATTTAATAAATTTTTTATTTTCTGTAGTTACATAATAATTAAATGTCTTAACTTTAACAATAGGAAACGACTTGTCGTTGCCGAGTGTTGTGGCATCGATGCTCGGCGACGACGAGTCGTGGAAGGCGATGCTCGACTCCTTCTGCGAGTGCACCATCTCGCAGAAGGAGGCGGCGGGGCGCGTGAGAGACGCACAGGCCCACCGCCGTCGAGCGGGTGTCAGGGGGGCGGATCTCGCCTAAGCCCTGGCCTGGGAGTCATTCGTGACCCTGAATTAAGTACAGTCAAACCTGGATAAGCGAGAGTTCAAGGGAGCACAATCTCATTCTCGCTTATAGAGGTTTCTCACTAACCCGAGTTACTCGCTAATGCGCCCTCTGAATTTCGTTTCGCGATTTTCCGCATTCAAATAGGTACATTCACTATTTTAAGTTTATCACTTAATGACAGTACTTTAATTTTCCGTGTTTACATGATGCAGAACAGAACTTTCCTTCGCAATTGATTAACGATAAACTGAGTAAGTCCGACAAACAGGACGGTACACAGGTACACGTGTCCATTCGAAAATAATGCGATAAAAGAATACGATAAAATAACAACCTTATTTAGTTCCACGAAATAGAATAGGTTCAATATTCACGAGAAAACAATACAAAAACAATGATAGGAAGTTCCACGAAAGTTAAGAATGAGTCAAAAAATAGCAGATGTTAAATTTGTAATTTGTTTTGTCATTTGTTCCTCCTAAATAATTAAAGCTAATTAGCAGTCTCACTTACAGAGGTCCATGAGGAAAAAACGACTCTCTCTTACAGAGGTTTCTGTTTCTTGCTAATAGAGGTTTTGGGAGCTTAAAATGACGGGTCCTGGCTATTACTCTCACTTATAGAGTTTTCTTACTTATCCAGTTCTCACTTACCCAGGTTTGACTGTATTTTACTGGCAGTAGGTGTAGGTGTTTACTGGTGGCAGAACCTCTTGTGAGTCCGCACGGGTAGGTACCACCGCCCTGCCTATTTCTGCCGTGAAGCAGTAATGTGTTTCGGTTTGAAGGGTGAAGCAGCCGTTGTAAATGTACTGAAATCTTAGAACTTATATCTCAAGGTGGGTGGCGCATTTACGTTGTAAATGTCTATGGGTTCCAGTAACCACTTAACACCAAGTGGACTGTGAGCTCGTCCACCCATTTAAGTATTAAAAAAAAAAACTTAGTCTTTCTAACTAATCATCAGATAATTGCGTAAGTTTAAAACAATGCGCTAATGCCGTTATAATCTACAGTCTATAGGTATATGTATAAAAATGAATTGCTGTTCGTTATTCTCGCTAAAACTCGAGAACGGCTGGACCGATTTTGCTAATTTTGGTTTTGAATTAATTGTGGAAGTCCAGAGAAGGTTTAAAAGGTAGAAAACATGAAAATGCTCGGAATTATATAAAAATAACAATTTTGTTTTCCCTTTCATGTGTCCTCCGTCGGATGCATTCCTTTTGTTTGTTTTAAGTTTATTTTATACAAACGTTTAGGTCTCTTATTTATCGATTGAGGCACTACGAACTCTGCCGGGCCAGCTAGTAAATAAATAGAACAAAGACATTATCACGGCAGAATGTGACCAATCCTTTATACTGTATGTTTGCTGAAACGTTGGGCCAATGTTATGCCGGCCACTGACATGCGCGCAATGAAGGGCCGTCAAACATTCATTCGCAAACCTAGCGGCTGTGCAAATGGGTTCGCATACTCAATTTGCGAACCCGTTTGCGCTTCCTCCTACACTTGTTTACGAATGTCTCACGAATTTCTCCTCCTTTTTAATTCGTCAATAGAACATTGAAGAGTAAAAGAGTTTTTAATTCTTTCCCAGACATCATTAGCAGCCATGCTGTTTTTATGGGTTTTTTTTTGATGACGATACGATACACAGTAGACGTCACGAACTATGAAAATGGCGTATAGTATACGTCCGTTACCTTCGCAATCGTCGGCGCAACCGGGCAAGCGAATGTGTGGGAGACTACGCGAAGGTTCGAGGTTCGCCCCTCCTGGCTGAGCCTTTGCTCGCCCACATGTCCTGGTGAAACTGGAAAGGCCTCCGAGCCACCAGTAATCTATCAATCATAAAAAAAAAGGTTCGAGGTTCGCGCGCTTTGATGTCTGTTAAAAAACGGACACAGCTTGGAAAACCACGAATGCAGCGAAAACTTTGCATAATCATTCGCAAATATCGTCCTACACTAAACTTGTCGGTTTGCGTATTCGCGCGCATGTGAGTGACCGGTGTCACGGTGTTGCATTGCCACTGCACGCACTGAACCTATATTATCGTGCATTAGTGTTTGTTCTCTCTGGTGTTTGTCATTCGGTCGTGAGCCGTCGGCGACGTTGGGCGCGTTTTCAAACAGTGTCGATACGATCGTAATAAATATGAATTTCGTTTACTTATTGGTGTCTCTTACTTTCGGGACGGTGCTTTGTGTTCAGGTAAATAATTTAATAATATATTGATTTAGCACACACGGACAGTCGCGTAAAATTATAGTTATTGTGAAAAGCAACCGGTGAGTTTTATTGAGCATATTTCATATTGGGCATGATCTGGAGAAATTGAATACACACGTATTGCAGTCTTTAGCAGATCAAGCAGTTAAGACGAATCCAACTTATCGAACCAATGCAAGTTTTTGTTTCCGCAAAAGCAAAACATTTTTGATTTGAAGGGTAGATGTATCCAGTTTTCTTTCCGCCAAACAGGGCCTAATGAAACTTCACAAAAAAAGATGGATGAAAAAGAAAACTAAATTAATATTAGTAACATTTATCATAAAAATTCAGATGGTGCGAGAGTATTGATTGTTGTATTTATTTTTAGAAATTATTTTGGAAAATGGCACTTTAATTATAACTTTATAGCCAAACTACCTACTGTTGACGAAATACCAATAGAAGTAGGTGATTCGTAAATTTTGTAGGTAATCTATGTATTTTTGTTTTTATTTTATCACATTTAAATCTATTGTTGCCAAATGAGAAATAATTTGTAATAATTATTTTAATATGTGAATATCCGAAGAGCATTTGCATTTACATAAATTATAATTACCGTGAGAAACGCGTTTTTTATATTTTTAATAATCTAAATTAATCTAAATAAATTTAATACATAAATTAAAATAATTGAATCTAAAAATATAACGGCAAATATTTATATTTTTCACAGCTTGTAACGGTCACGGATGACGGAATTATTAATAAATTGCCTTAAAATTGTTTTTAATCGTGATTCATTTTTTAGGAGTTCCATTCGTAAGCTTCGCAGGCAATTTTAGTACTATACTTAGTGAAACTGGTCAGCTTTGGTAAGTATTTTTGAGGGTTGTCTGGGCACAGCTTCCACTGCCGGGGCCGATACGCCTCAAAGATAATGACGCCTACTTTGAGTCCTTTGTGCTTAGTGCGAGTTTTTTTTAACGTTCTCGATAGCGTAAAAGTTAACTCGAATTTTTATGGAGTTGGAACGTTCGCCTACGTTTGCCGCTAGGGGCGCTGTTCCAACTGCATACGAGTTAACTTTTACGCTATCGAGAACGTTAAAAAACTCGCATTAAGCACACAAACGTGGGCATTGTATTAATACTGATCGAGGCTTCAAATCGAACGCATCTTCATAGCAATTGACTTCTGGTGACGCCATTTGTCATTTATTTTCCTTAAAAAAACCAATCCGTATTCGTGGTCCAAAAAGAGAGAAATTTTACGTGTTTTCCTTTCTTCTTCAAGCAGTAATATGTTATTGAACGTGGCTATTTCAGTATACGTCGCTCATGAGTACACATTTTTTTTCTCCCCCCTCCTGGCTGAGCCTTTGCTCGCCCACATGTCCTGGTGAAACTGGAAAGGCCTCCGGGCCACCAGTAATCTTTCAATCATAAAAAAAAAACTTTTATTTTTTATTGCCCTTGTAGGCAGACGAGCATACGGCCCACATGATGGTGAGTGGTTACCGTCGCCCATACGTAATAATCTAATTACGTTTCAGTTTTGATAAAAAAAAGATATGTTTCGTGAAATGCAACGGAAAAAAAAAAATCAAATTTGATATGTCTAATAATAAAATTGGGAACAGATGCAGCCCGCCACCCGAAACCAGAGCATCGACCGGCGGGTCGATTCTCGAACTCGATCGAGATTGCGGAGTTTGCTTTTAGCCTTAACACGTTGACTGCCATGTTGACTTCCACGGTGAAGGAATAACATCGTGTAATAAAAATCAAACCCGCAAAATTATAATTCGCGTAATTACTGGTGGTAGGACCTTTTGTGAGTCCGCGCGGCTAGGTATCACCGCCCTGCCTATTTCTGCCGTGAAGCAGTAATGCGTTTCGGTTTGAAGGGTGGGGTAGCCGTTGTAACTAAACTGAGACCTTAGAACTTATATCTCAAGGTGGGTGGCGCATTTACGTTGTAGATGTCCATGGGCTCCAGTAACCATTTAACACCAGGTGGGCTGTGAGCTCATCCACACATCTAAGCAATAAAAAAAAAGGTCACCGGTGTCCTACGCGGCGTAATGAAGATTTCCTAACTTTGGCTAATTTTGTTTTTAATGAACGTCTTAGTGTTTTAGGTCGCTTAGAAATGGATTCATTCTCAGCATTTTCGGATTAGTCTTTCCCAGAGTCTACTAGGAGTTCTGGACGCCTTAGTAACAGAAATCGATATAATTACTTCAGGGCGCCGCGTAGGGCACTGGTGACCTACATGTCAGTCAAAGGGTTAACGTTTTTTTTATTGCTAAGATAGATGGACGAGCTCACAGCCCACCTGGTGTTAAGTGTTTACTGAAGCCCATAGACATTTACAGCGCAAATGCGCCTTCACCTTAAGGATATAAGTTCTAAGGTCTCAGTATAGTTACAACGGCTACCCCACCCTTCAAGACGAAACGCATTACTGCTTTACGGCAGAAATAGGTGGGGTAGTGGTACCTACCCGCGCGGACTCACATGAGGTCCTACCACCAGTAAAAAAAACATTTTTGTTAATCATCGTTAGGTTCTTCCTAAAAAGCGGCTTTTAGTTATTGTCCACTTAGTTCTATTTATTGATAATGCAGAACGAGAGATTAACAACAAATAAAATCCTCCGAGAAATGATAAAAATATTTCCATTGAGGATCCCTTATCGCAATGACGAACACGTTCGGCAATAGCCCCGATCACGCGTGCGATGCATGTTGTTGTTACATCTCTCTCTGTCTTCAACGAAATGCATAAATGCATCTCTGTCGAACGTAATCCTAGATCATGTTATTGTTCTATCTCTTTTCGTCTTGCCGTAATTCGTATATTGCGTTCTCTTTGTAATGTGAGCCCTCGCCCTTAGCCATTGAAAGATTCCGGGGGACCGTCACGTACGTACTCAAGTAATTCATCACAATTCACAATACAGTGACGCTTAATGGCCCTTTTAGGGATCCGTAGATGGATGACAAAAAAAGAAATATACTTCTCGAGTAAATTAACCCATAGACACAGCCCACTGAGTTACTCGCCGGATCATCTCAGTGGGTCGCGTTCCAGATCCGGTGGTAGATTCTGCGAAGCACTGCTCTTGCTAGGGCTAGTGTTAGAAAATTCTATCACGTTGAGCCCGTGAGCTCACCTACCCGTCCCGTCGTAGCTGGAATATCCTCGCAGGTTACTAGGGAACAGGTAGGAAAAAAAGAGACCTTAGAACTCATATCTAAAGGTAGGTCGCGGCATTTACATTGTAGATGTCTATGGGCTCCGGTAACCACTTAAAATCGGGTGGACCGTGAGCTCGTCCACCTAAGCAATAAATAAAAAAAATTAAAACGGTGACGTCCTTTTTTGAAGACAAAAACGTCACTTTCCGAATCTTAAACTCATAATGTTATTATGTGCAAAAAACACGGACCAAACACATTTATTGTATTGTTAAAATAATAATATAGTCGACTACCTGGATTCAACCCGTCTTAGGAATGCTCTATTTTTGTAAATTTCCATAGCTCTCTGTGGCAAATCTCCCTAAATCTATTTTCACAGCACGCGAACGTTAAAATGGCGATAGTTCTGTCAATTAACAAGGATCTTTATGTTAAATGTCATCGAAAACAAAAAGCATAAATATTATCCAAAGCGTAGATTTTTTTTTATATTTGTATTGCCTAGATGGGTGGACGAGCTGCACAGCCCACCTGGTGTTAAGTGGTTACCGGAGCCCATAGACGTCTACAACGTAAATGCGCCATCCACCTTGAGATATAAGTTCTAAGGTCTCAAGTATAGTTACAACGGCTGCCCTACCCTTCAAACCGAAACGCATTACTGCTTCACGGCAGAAATAGGCAGGGTGGTGGTACCTACCCGCGCGGACTCACAAGAGGTCCTACCACCAGTAATTACGCAAATTATAATTTTTTGCGGGTTTGATTTTTATTACACGATGTTATTCCTTCACTGTGGAAGTCAATCGTGAATACTTGTTGAGTACGTATTTCATTAGAAAAATTGGTACCCGCCTGCGGGATTCGAACACCGGTGCATCGCTTCAACACGAATGCACCGGACGTCTTATCCTTTAGGCCACGACGGCTTCAGAGGGAGTTATGTTTTCACTAAGCCAGGAACTAAGCTAATCTCTTCTTGACTCTGACGTCGAGCCCGTCGAGTTTAGAGCCAGAACACATTAATCTCTTAAAATAACTAGTGAGATATAATAATAATAATAATAAATTTTTATTTCAGAATTAAATTCCATATAAAGTGTTAGTAACACAAAATCTTTCTTAAAAAAGCAGTTCATTTTATTTATTTTACATTGCCCATGGCTGGTCTTGAGCCAACATGGACTTCATTCCAGTGCCTCAGTATAGGGCAGCAATAGCGACTCCCTATTGCGGCCGGGAGGCTGTTAGTTAATACGCATAGTTCTAATTTTGATACGTGCCCGTATCGATATTCATATTAAAAAAAATACTCTAAAATGAATGTCAAGCTATTTGACACATCGCGCCTTTAGAATTGAAATGGCTTATTTAAAAAATTTGTTTCCTGCTAAACTCCAAAAAATGTACATAATTGAAGAATTGTTTAAAGTATGTTTGTCCTTTTCTGGACTAAAATAGACTGTTTAATTTTATAAACTGACTAGCGGCCCGCTCCGGCTTCGCTCGGGTCTTTAACAAAAATTTCAACGATATTTAACGACGTTTTCTTTTTTAAAATAAAAGAACACTTATTGCGGCATAGCTATAATAGTTTGACATATGCTGTCGCGACACTTTTTGTAAATAACAATGTGTTCTACAAAGTCGTAATACATTATTTTATTCTATCATCAATAGTTTTCGCAGGGCACGCGATGTTAAAAATATTTTAGGTAATTTTTTTACACCTTGGGTTACATTATTGTAGTCTTAGTACGGATCCCAATTTTTTTTCAAAAAAGATTATAGCCTATGTCACTCGGGAATAGTGTAGCTTTCAAACAGTGAAATAATTTTTCAAATCGGTTTAGTAGTTTCGGAGGCTATTCAATACAAAAAAACAAACAAATATTTCCTCTTTATAATATTAGTATAGACTTATAACATTGGTATAGATAGAATACGTCATGTTTCCAAGTCGTTCGAAGTATAAAATTTATTTTCTTAAATTTTTTATTTGAGTCACTTATATTCTAAAGATGCGACATGTTTTGTTCTTTCTTCAAATATCATTTCGACATTCGATTCTTACAAAATGTAATAATTTTTTTTCGTTCACAGGATTCATACAAAGCTGCCTCGATTAAGCCCGCTAATGAAAACGTTGATTTTAAGAGCTACTTACCTCTCATACTGGAAGCTGGTAAATCGGTGAGTGAATTTCTGAGTCGTATTTTGAAAATCGTATCGTGTTTTACTGGTGGTAGGACCTCTTGTGAGTCCGCACGGGTAGGTACCACCACCGTGCCTATTTCTGCCGTGAAGTAGTAATGCGTTTCGGTTTGAAGGGTGGGGCAGCCGTTGTGACTATACTTGAGACGTTAGAACTTATATCTCAAGATGGGTGGCGCATTTACGTTGTGGATGTCTATGGACTCCAGTAAACACTTAACACCAGGTGGGCTGTGAGCTCGTCCACCCATCTAAGCAATAAAAAAAAGGGATTTTGTAAGTGATTGTTGATATGCAATCACGAAAGTTTTTTTAGGTTATAAACTGCCCATTTGTATTGTGTATGAGAGCGTGCGTGTGTGTGAGTTATTTCACACATTATACGCATTAAGAATGAGTACAGCCATCAGAAACAAAGTGCCTTAAAAACAAAATGTTCCTTTTAATATTTTGGAAAAAAATTAGGTACAATATTATAATAATAGTATGAATTTTATTTAAAAAAAAAAAGATGCGCGTGCAATTTGGTGCACTTGGAAGAAGTGAAATTTCTTTAGCGGTGTGTCGTAGTGTTGTGGTTATCTTCATTTTTCATGCTTTAAACAAATTCCTCTTGTAACAGGGAATGCTGTGTATAAGAGAAACGACTTAGCTCGCTTTTCCCTCTCTCTAAGGTCGAGTGGTTCGCGAGACGCTCTGTCTATTTTCTCACTCTCGCTCGTCCTAAGCTATATCTTTTCTCTCTAGCCGTAACGAATCTGCGCATAACGAAGTTTCACTTAAAAAATCGATTGTAATTGAACATGTGCTAAAATGCATTGGATTTTTTAATTTCGACTTAACGCCGCTGCTATAAGATCGACATTTATAAATATGTGTCAGTTTAATTATTAACAGTGCATCGGAGTTTCGACTATACTAGCTAGTGCTTCAAGTTACAAAAGTCAAGTTTGTTGATGGTTAAGTCAAGAACTAGGGGCATAACGATTTCTCGTTACGTGACGTTTTCTATCAGTCAACCCCCTTTTTCTTTGGGCCGAGGGCCGCACCCCTTACGAGAACTCTATGTCTCTGGATTCCTATGTGGGACTTGACGATCTACAAAGTGTTGGGAGCAGACCGCGGGTCCAAGGAATTTTAGGGCCCTACCGCACTAAGCGACTCTCCTGCACTCTTACACCCGACGTCCGGTCTCCGTCCGGGGTCAGAACCCTGTCATAGTAGGGGGGTTCCCGCGGTCAACACTACAACCAGACAATCAGTCAACCCCTGCCACAAGACGCGTTAAGGAATCTCATTTAAAAAAAATTACCAAGTCAATACGTACTCGAACATGGGCTGACAAACTACTTCACAACAACGAGAAACTAAAATTAACACCAGAAAATTTTGACAAAAATTTTATTTATCTTTTATTTATTTCATTATTGCTGGGCACTCCTCTCTCTTCAGTCGGTCCCTCATTGTTGAGGATCGTGACTCCGTCCGATTCCGTCAACCAACTGTCTCCATCGATCCCGTTTTGTAGCTTGGTTATACCATCCATATCCATTCCTGCTGTAAACGCATGACGTTTCAGTTTCACGAGACAGCCCTAACGTCAGTAAAATTCGCAGTTTGTTTGGTACGTATGTGGTAAAATGTGGTTAGCACATTCTGATAGTTCCACAAGAATTGTTAATTTGGACTGTTCTCTTAATTAAATCTACTGCTTTACCACCTTAGACTGGCCCTTTTAACGCGTATCGCACTGAAAAGAAGACAATTCAAATAACAAAATTCAAATAACCACGGGACTCTGAGTGAAGGTTAAAATATCAATTACAGAACAGTAACTATATCTTTCGAGACGAAGGAATGATTTTGTTGCGCTAGAAATAAGTGGGAGGGTTATTTCAAATCGTATAAACACAAAATACCTTTTCATGAATTATATACCTTTTCCTTTTATTGTCGATGAATTTGACGTGAAACCTAACCCTTAGCATCAGCCAGTTGAGTTTCGCACCGGATCTTCTCAGCGGGTCGCGATTTCGATCCAGTAGTATAGTTCATTGTGTACCTTATAAACATTTAAATGTTTTTTTGAGTGAACACAAAGAAACTTGCTTTATTTTCATTTCAAACAAAGCCTTTGTGCTTATTGTGTTTATTTTAGTCGTCGTGGCCTAAAGGATAAGACGTCCGGTGTATTCGTGTCGAGCGATGCAACGGTGTTCGAATCCCGCAGGCGGGTACCAATTTTTCTAATGAAATACGTACTTAACAATTGTTCACGATTGACTTCCACGGTGAAGGAATAAACCCGCCAAATTATAATTTGCGTAAATACTGGTGGTAGGACCTCTTGTGAGTCCGCGCGGGTAGGTACCACCACCTTGCCTATTTCTGCCGTGAAGAAGTAATGCGTTTCGGCTTGAGCGGTGGGGTAGATGTAGTAACTATATTAGAACTTACATCTCAAGGTGGGTGGCGGCAGTTACGTTGTAGATGTCTATGGGCTCCGGTAACCACTTAACACCAGGTGGGCCGTGAGCTCGTCCAACCAACTAAGCTACATAAATAAATAAATAAATTGCAATATATAAAAACAGACACATTTATGCTTTTACCCCTAATAGTTATTGTACTATTTTCAATTTGAATTTGTAATTTTCTTTGTAGCATTATTGCGATAATTGCGATACGGTATCGCGTGTTTAAATACGATTTTCATATAATATACGGTTAATAACATATTATTGTTATTATTCTGAATAAATAAATAACTGTTAAACATCTAATGACGTTAGGGTTTATTAAACTCAGTATATTTTTGCAATAATTATTATATCTTCTCAGAGGGTCGCGTTTCCAATCCGGTGGTAGATTCTGCGAAGCACTGCTCTTGCTAGGGCCAGTGTTAGTAAATTCTCTCAGTTTGAGTCGGTGAGCTCACCTACCTGTCCACGCGTAATTTGAATAAATAGCCCCTTAGGCTACCGACGAATAGGTAGGGAAAAAACACAATTTAAACTAGTTTTTCTATTTAATTTCCCGCTTATTTATATCATTATTTCGTTTCCGACTTTTTTTTTTTTAATTGCCGTTGTAGGCAGCGGATCACACGGCCCAGCTGATGGTGAGGGGTTACCGTCGCCCATGGGCTTCAGCAATGCCAGGGGCAGAGCCAAGCCGCTGCCTACCGCTTAATACTCTCCACAAGCCTCGTTTGAAGAAGGACATGTCATAGCGCTCGGGAAACACCATGCAGGGGAGCTCATTCCATAGCCGGATGGTATGTGGCAAAAAAGACCTCTGGAAACGCACTGTGGATGACCGCAGTGGCTCCAGGTAGTGTGGATGAACTCTGCTCCGGTGGCGGGCGGTGCGATGGTAAAAACGAGATGACGGTATTATCTCGAACAATTCCTCAGAGCACTCCCTGTTACACTCTCCTTTAACATTTAGTTAAATTAATACAGATTTATTTTATTATTATTATAGGACGTGGATATTCTTGTTCTGCCAGCCCAGGAGAAAACCGAATCTGCAGATAAATATGAGGAGGTGAGTTGCGAGCAATGAGAAACTAATTGTTATTTTTAATCAATATCAAAAGGTTGTATAATCTTTTTTGTAAATACACCTTTTACTGATGCCTAATTCAAGTGCCATCCCCTGACGAAGGTCGGCTGTTGTCAACGACAAAGATCGGAGAATGGATTTGGCTTTAAAAATATTTTATACCAGCGACCCACCCTCGCTTCGCTTTGGAAATATTAAATTTTATTATTGATAGCTGAGTCCCGCGATGCTACCCGCGAGTGAAGCCGCGGGGCGGAACTAGTTTAAAAAAAGTAGCCTAAGTTACTCCTTATATCATCAGCTACCTATCACTGAAAGTCAAAATCGGTCCAGCCGTTCCAGAGATTAGCCGGAACAAACAGACAGACAGCCAGACAGAAAAATATTGTAAAAAATGTTATTTTGGTGTATGTACCGTATATATATTCATATGCATGTAGTAAAAGAGGCTATTTCAATATTACAAACAGACATACCAATTTTATTTATATGTATAGATATAGACAGCCCAATATTAAACGATTTTGTGATTTTGTCTTTCTATATACGTACAATATTCCAAACAGTCTCCTGTGCAAAGCTCAAGTCTATTAGTTCTGTGAGAGTAGCTTTCTGTGATGTGTAGAAGGCGTGAAGGAAACGACAACTTTCTGGATGTATGTACGCAATAGGGTTGCCACATTTTTTTTCAGCCTATAAGAAGCAAATGCTTAAATGGGCAAAAAATACGGGAATTTAATTTTTTTACCGGAATAAATAAAAAACAAAATTATATATGTAGTTACATTTTTTATTTTATTTTTGGTATTTCTCCGAGGAGTAAGTCAGTTTTAACATATTTTTATCGGTTTTAGCATATTTATAAAAATCAATACAATTATAATCGTATGGTTCGCATACGGGACAGAGTCAGCCCCGCCGGGACATTTTAAAGTAAGCCTAAAATACGGGACGTACCGGGAAATACGGGACGCCTGGCAACCCTAGTACGCAAGCTTATTGGTGGGAGGGTGTCTTATGGATCATCGTGGCCGCCGGTAACTACAGTCCCGATCCTGCGGACAGAATGGAAAGCAGTCGACGTCGCCCAAAACGTGTCATTTCGGATCCTCCCGATCCACTAACGGTGCTTTTAGGTACCCCAAGCACCGGTCATCGTTCTTGTCGAACCCGTCGCTTGCGACGAAGGGCTCAACGAGTAAATTAACCCACAGACACAGCCCACTGAGTTTCTCGCCGGATCTTCTCAGTGGGTCGCGTTTCCGATCCGGTGGTAGATTCTGCGAAGCACGGCCCTTGCTAGGGTTCGTGTTAGCCTACTAGCTAAGGTTACGCTGAAATAGTCCCTCAAGCTTATCCGCTTAGGTAGAAAAAAAAAGCACGCTCGAGCAGGCACTACCATCCTGCCTATTTTTGCCGTGAGGCACAAATGCGTTTCGGTTTGAGCCGTGGGGCAGTCTTTGTGCGGTAAAACTGAGACATATAATATATAAATTCCATTTGTCTTGACCAGCCGTGGCGCGATCGGATAATATTGGCCAAGAGCCAGACAATTTAGAATACAGTTGTTTGATCTCAAGTAGCTTAGCTTAAATTTGGTTGAAAATGATGTCGAATTCCATTTAAAATTGTTTCCATTGTGGGCTGTCCAATTCTAACTTGATTTCTTAATAGGCCGTCAAGAATATATCGGATGCTGCAAAAAAAGCTGGCTTATATATCGCAGCTCACCTGTACGAGGGAGTTCAGTGCCAAAACAAAAAAGAAATCGTCAGGAGTAACATCGTCTTTGATAGAGAAGGCAAAACTGTTTCCGTGTAAGTTTCTGTGTATTTTTTTGTGTGAGTGAAACTACTGAAATGTCGCAGAGGAACTGTTTGGAATATGATAATAACAGTAATAATAATAAGGCAGAAAAGGACAAATCAATATTCAGACCTGACCCATAACATTGCCGCCATATTTGTTGGTAGGGTTTGAAAAAAAATGTATTTTTAATTTTTTTTTTATTTTTTTATTGCACTTGTCCTAGATGAGCATACGGCTTACCTGATGGTTAGTGGTTACCGTGGGCCATGGACGTCAGCAATGCCGAGGACAGAACCAAGCCGATGCCTACCGTTACTTTCCACAAGCCTCGTTTGAAGAAGGACATGTCATAGCAATTAATAAGATTTTATATAAATATGGTATAATAATAATAATAAAATCATTTACTACTTTTCACACAGACTTATTATTATAGGTAACTCAGCTGAAATGTTCGAAGTGGATGTATCGAATAGTATTGATTTTCAGTCACCCCTATTCCCATTGGTGTATTGTGGGATTTGAGGATAGGGCAGGATTGATTGCCGAGAGATCAGTAAGCAGTCGACGTCGCCCTAAACACGTCATTACGGATCCTCCCGATCCATTAACAGTGCTTTTAGGTACCTCAAGCACCGGTCACTGTCCTCACCGAACCAGTTGCCTGCGACGATGGGCTCGACGAGTGAATTGACCCATAGACACAGCCCACTGATTTTCTCGTAGGTTTGAGCCTCGAGAGGTCACCTACGAGGTTGAAGCTGAAAGAGCCTCTCAAGGCTATCAGCATAGGTAGCATAGGTAGGTAGTAGCTCATGGCAAACCAATTGATTAGAGATTGCTACCGTACTAGTTAGTCTACAGTTTCCTTCTTTTAGCTACAAATTAAAAGCTTTACTGCCCATGTAACGGCATTTTTCATTTACAGTTACAAAAAGCCAATGAACAATCTCACCAACTGCACCAGCGTGGATTCGGAAGGGTCTCTCAAGACCGACTTCGGAGTTACGTTCGGGCTTTTAATGGGAGAGGACTTGACGCTCTACAAGCCAGAAACCTTTGGGGGGCTAAAGAATTTCCTGGTCCTCGGTGGCTTCGTTCCTCAAATACCTATTTTGGGCGGTGAGTTCAGCATATGCTTCATTTGTAGAAGAGATTTTTTTCAGTTCTTCACGGCAGAAATGCACCCTGCCTGGTGGTATCCTATCGGTGCGGACTTACAAGACCTCCTACTACCATGCAAATTATAATTTTGCGGGCTTGATTTTTATTACGCGATGTTTTTCCTTCACCGTGGAAGTCAATCGTGAACAAGTTGAGTACGTATTTCATTAGTAAAATTGGTACCTGCCTGAGATTCGAACACTGGTGCATCGCTCAACACGAATGCACTGGACGTCTTATCCTTTAGGCCACGACGACTTCTTGTCTGCTTGCGTACAAGGGCAATAAAAAAAAAGAAGAATGCGATAGAATCAGCATGTTGTTCAATAAATATGGCGCGTTTCAGGTCCTCAGCTGCTGCAGTCTTGGGCGTACGTGAACAGAGCTAATATCATATCTCCCGCCGGGATCTACGCGTCTGGGTCCGCTGCGAACAATGGGAACGAAATGATCGTCGCTGATCTTAATAAGGAAGGAGCTGGTGAGGAGCTTACTGAATCTTAATTGATGGCTGTCCACATATAGGACTTCTTGTGAGTCCGCGCGGGTAGGTTCCACGCCTTACCTATTTCTGCCGTGAAGCAGTAATGCGTTTCCGTCTGAAGGGTAGGGCAGCCGTTGTAACTATACTGAGATCTTAGAACTTATATCTCAAGGAGGGTGGCGCATTTATGTTGTAAATGTCTATGTACTCCAGTAACCACTTAACACCAGGTGGGCTGTGAGCTCGTCCACCCAACTAAGCAATAAAAAAATCGGTTATCTGTAAAGTCGGTTTACTGACGATAGTTGAACGTGACAACGTTATAAGAAAATACTGATGGAATGGTTTCATTTTTCAAAAGAAAATTTTAATTTTATTGCATCGCTCACTCAAGTAGGAGAGAGACAGATATCGAACGCTGCCGAACGCGGAGGCTGATTGTGCCTCTTTGTCGCTCGTTGCGCGCTCTCGCTTGCACTTCAAGCCTTAAATGGAACGCCTCAATGAGTCATGTTTTTTCGTGCGTGCAGCCGGCTCCATCGAATTATAAGACGTTGTTACCTCAAAAAAAAAGAAAACTAAAGTTTCCGTTCATTTGGATATATAAATGAGTAACTCTGAATTCTCTTCCGTTCTGCAGACCCCGCGTCTCCCCCGATCATGAGTCCATCGCAGCTTCAGGACTCGCCTGCTGAAGACCTCAGTCTCTACGCAGTGAAACCTCTGGACCTGGAATCGGCTTCCCGAGGAGTACAGGAGACCGTCTGTCACGGCCAACTCTGCTGTCAATTCAAGATTAAAACGAAACTCACAGGTTTGTCGCAATTAGAATTTTTAGTTCTTTATACATACTAGTGGTCTCCAGGTAGTCGAAATTCGATTATATTTCATTGAAATTATAAGTTATTATGATATTGTCAAAGATTCATAAACTTCTATAACAGATCTTCTATCACAGATTTCGCGAATACTACACTTTAGACAAATATTAATAAAGACAAACAATATTTAATCTATTCTCAATTTGACCACATACCATAAGCAATAAGAAAGGTTTGACAGTAAACAAATACTATGCATGCGTGTGCGTATCAAATACATGGTAGCGCGTGTAATGTTCTTTTAAAATTAATTTAATGTATTTTTTAAGCAAAATTAAAAAAAAATTAACTTTCTGCACTCCTTCTCTATATCCTCTATAATAGTGGGAACATTCATACTCCTCCGTTCGCGCAATTTTCGTCAAATGAGGTACAAAGTTTTTGCTTCACGTATTAGATAACTGCCGAACTCAAATAAAAATACTTTTTATTATTTATTTCTATTGCTGTTTTAAATATGCGAGACAGTCACGAAATATACAAAGAAAACAACAAAATCATTTGAAGATATTTTTGTAGGTATGTATAAAAAGTCTAAAGTATATGTTATATCCATCTTTTTTATTGCTTACATGGGTGGACGAGCTCACAGCCCACCTGGTGTTAAGTGGTTACTGGAGCCCATAGACATATACAACGTAAATGCGCCACCCACCTTGAGATATAAGTTCTAAGGTCTCAGTATAGTTACAACGGCTGCCCCACCCTTCAAGCCAAAACGCATTACTGCTTCACGGCGGAAATAGGCGGGGTGGTGGTACCTACCCGCGCGGACTCACAAGACGCTCTACCACCAGTAATTTTAATTTTACATTTAACCGACTATCGGCTTAACTATACTGTTATAGGCACAGTCATCTGCAACTCTGTATAAATTCCAAAATCTTCTCATACATTCATCACAGACACCAAAAGATCCGACCTACATCCTAAATCTAGCCGAGAGTCACTACTACAGACAAAGTCATCATCATCATTCGCCTGCCTTTCTACCGTGCGGACGCACAAGAGGGCCTACCACCAGTATTATCTCGGAGTAGCTGAAGAAGTGATTGTTGTTCCAGGAGCAAAGCCCTCGCAGACTTACTCTCTGGCGGCGTTCCGGGGAGACCGTGCCTTCTCCCGGGGACAACGCGTCGGTGTCCAGAGCTGCGCCATCTTCGCGTGTCCCGGTCCGGACGGAGACACTTGTGTCACTCAGTAAGTCTTCTACATCGCAAATAGCCCGCCGAGTTTCTCGCCGGATCTTCTCAGCGGGTCGCGATTCCGATCCGGTAGTAGATTCATTCGCGGAGCATTTGCTCTTGAGTTGTTAGGTCTCCTTCGGAGGCGCTCGGGTAGCTGTTAGCAAATCCCACCCCTCCTGGCTGAGCCTTTGCTCACTCACCTGTCCTGGTGAAACTGGAAAGGCCTTCGGGCCACAAGTAATCTTTCAATCATAAAAAAAAATCTTTACCAATAAGCGGAATCAGAACTCCGCAAAGGTTAATTGAGAAAAAAAAAATGTACAAGTTTATGTGTGTAGTCTAGCAGAACTCCTAAGTCGCAGTTTTTACAGTACTGAAGGGTGGGGCAGCCGTCGTAACTATAGTGAGACCTTAGAACTCATATCTCGAGGTAACCACCTTTTTCCGTTGCAATTACGTTGTGGATGTCTATGGGCTCCGGTAGCCACTTAAAACCAGGTTTTATTTTTATTTTTTATTGCTTAGATGGATGGACGAGCTCACAGCCCACCTGGTGTTAAGTGGTTACTGGAGCCCATAGACATCTACAACGTAAATGCGCCACTCACCTCGAGATATAAGTTCTAAAGTCTCAGTATAGTTACAACGGCTACCCTACCCTTCGAACCGAAACGCATTACTGCTTCACGGCGGAAATAGGCGGGGTGGTGGTACCTACCCGTGCGGACTCCCAAGAGGTCCTACCACCAGTAATTACGCAAATTGTAATTTTGCGGGTTTGATTTTTATTATACGATGTTATTCCTTCACCGTGGAAGTCAATCGTGAACATTTGTTGAGTACGTATTTCATTAGAAAAATTAGTACCCGCCTGCGGGGTTCGAACACCGGCACAGTTGTTCGCTCAGTACGTACGTACATACCGGACGTCTTAGCCTTTAGGCCACGACGACGTATAAAAGTTTTCAGATATCAGATTTAAAGCAATTGACACACTATGCTTATAGATGCAACGTGCTTATGGATTTATAAAGGACAAAGGAATCTAGCCGTCGAAATATTGTGATCTTTTTTATTTTTATTGCCCTTGTAGCCAGACGAGCATACGGCCCATCTGATGGTGAGTGGTTACCGTTGCCCATGGACTTGAGCAATGCCAAGGGCAGAGCCAAGCCGCTACCTACCGTTTGTCCTATAAGTGTTGATTTTTTTTTCTACCTTTTCTTGTAGCCTAGAGAGGCTATTCCAGCGGAACCTTAACTAGTAGGTGAGCTCACGGGGCTCAAACCTGACGACAATGCTAACACGAACCCTAGCAAGAGCTGTGCTGCGCAGAATCTACCACCGGATCGGAAACGCGACCCACTGAGAAGATCCGGCGAGAAACTCAGTGGGCTGTGTCTGAGAGTTAATTTACTTGTCGAGCCCTTCGTCGCAAGGGACGGGTTCGACGAGAACGAAGACCGGTGCTTGAAGTACCTAGAAGCACCGTTAGTGGATCGGGAGGATCCGAGATGACGTGTTTTGGGCGACGTCGACTGTTTTCCATTCTTTCCGCAGGATCAGGAATGTAGTGTTGATTATATGAGATACATCTCCTTAATTTTACGTATCGTAATTTTTTTGTTAAGAATGTGTCTGATAACACGCAATGATAACATCATCAACTTCTTTTAGGATCGAGCAGGGCGAACTGAACGTGATCTTTGAGCAAATCACCATCAGTGGAAATTTCTCGAAAAGCAACACAGCGCTGTACCCGATGGTGGTGGCGGCTGATACTGTTCCATTGGATAATTTTAAATTCGACACGAAAGTCGCGGACCAGAAGCTCGCCAGCATCGAGCTTGCCGAAGCTCGTCTCTTCAGCGCTGGTATCTTCGGCAGGGACTTCGATAGAGATGCGAACACTAAATCATCTGGCGAGAACAATGCCTATTCAAACTTCTACGATTACATCTTCAATGATGACGTACTCGGAATAATCGATTACGTCTGGATCAGGCTCAGGATATTGATTTTCGTCGTCTCCATTTACATTTTGGAAATGATTTAAACAAATAATCCGAGTAATTATTGAAAATGAATAATCGATTTTTTCCGAATTAAAAATAACCAAAAAAAAAATTATCCACACTGAGTTTGTTGTTACTTTACAAGGATGACAACAAAAGAGGAATAATCGGTTATTTATTTGATTATATTAAAAAAAAAATCATATCGAGGGGTAATTTAGTTTAAGCAACATTTATCTTAGTAATTAAAGGTCCGTTTTGTTTTGTACTAGGAGACCCAGCCTCATGTTGCTGTGGCTAAGGCTTTTGTTTCTAAATAGCACGTGACTGGCTATGCCAATACCAAAAATTAACAAAGTAAAAACAATTGGATTTCACAGTATCCCGTTTATTATGAAATGAATTTCACTTATACTATAGCCTCAGCAACACGTGGTGTTTATGCCATTAAGTTGTAGCTTATATGAAACGTTGGTATTTTAACACAGCGCCATCTATGAAATATTAACGTCAGACAGTATTACAATTGTCTGTGGAAACTGATTTAAGGCGCCATCTGTTTTATACTTATGAAACTTACAATTAATAACAATAATCAACATCAGAAATCATTTTATTGTTAATTAATAAATATTGCGACCATTAATTGAAATAAAAACCATCCTATGGCCTAAGTTGGAACAAAACTCATATTAAACAAAAAAAAAAGCTAAAATCGGTTCAGTAGTTTAGGTGTCCATCGCGGACAAACAACGTGACACGTAATTAATATATATAAAGATAAGATTAGTATCAACAGTTCGATGTTTTTAATTGAACTTTAATTAAGTTTACTTCATTCAAAATAGCAGAAGATTTTTTTTTGTTATAACATTTTTTCCAAATTTCAAACAGAACCATTTAACTATCTCCTTCTTCTTCTTCTCTGTCGTTTCCTCATTGCTGAGGGTCGTGACCACCTTGGTCCAGTTTTTGCACCAGCTTCCTATCTCCTATAGCTATAACTATCTCCTATAGAGTTGCAATTCTTTGTTATAATTTTTTTCTAAATTTTAAACTTTAAATGGCTCTCCTGTAGAGTTGCAAAAATGTTGCTTAAACCAAACCCCTCGATATTATTCTAAAATTTTACCGTTGTCTTTATTCGCTTAAATGTAACTTCAAGTAAGCGTGAATAAGTAAGTATTAATTGTGTAGCTTAATCGATTCAAGTTTAGTTTAAAAGTTCAATCTGTTTGCGAACTAAATAATCCTACGACCAGTTAGCATCGACTAAGCGGTTTGCTTATCTAATTTAGAAGTTTAATAATGCGTTCTTGTAATAAGCCATACAAAAATTTGCTCTAAACATTAACTTACACAAAATAAGTTCTTAGGACCAAGCAATGATATTTTATATGTAAAAAGAAGCAGATATGTTTCAAGCGCACGTCAAGTGAAGACTCGAAAACAGGCCAATTGGGACGTTTCGTCTTTAGTCGCGTCTAAACAAATACAATAATAATATAACAAGTGCAATCGTTCCAATTATAGCTATCTTTTTTACTCACGCACTTATCCCATCTTTTGTACTTTTCATTAATGCTACATGTCAACATGTGTGTGCACTATATCGGTAGGTATGTAGATATATATGGCGCGATCAAATTTGAAGAGTCAGCTACTATGAAGATAACATATCTGTTGTATAATCATTAACAAATCATTGGGACCAAGCGTAGCGCCACTGTGACATTAAAAGCATGGTTTTTGTGTGTTTTTATTAGAAACCTAATTAACTATAGCTCGATTTTATCAAATGTACGATTTGCATGAAATATTTTCGTAAGGGTCCTAAACGGGAAAGAGCTTTTAAAATTTATAAGGTTTTGAAGGGAAGCGTACAATACTTGTCAACGAACTTACTAATCCTATTTTCAGTATTCGCGCGTCATAGAAATATTTAAAACTTTTTTTACATATTATAAAACATATTTTTCCGTAAAAAAAATCTTGAATTCTTAAATCAGTGTAGTTATAACAGTCTGTGTGTATGCTATTATTGTTTGATGTTAATAATCTTTAAAATGGATTAGGACATCACACAGACTGAGATTAATTAAAAAAACGTGTGGCACTCGGGAACTGCCCCGGTAAAGCTATTGCATAGCATTTTTTATCAACTTATGCAATTATGATTAGACAATGATAATTTAATATTAAAACAATAATAAAACAAGACCATGCTATATTAAACATTAATAAAAGCAAAACCTTAACTGTCCCCTTCACGCTCATAACCTAGACCGCGCGAGAGAGAGATGGGCACACTTTTCATGATGCGCATGCAGTGTGACGTCACGCCGCGCGCTTATTCACAAACACTACACAAGCGCAACGTGTGAATGTGTTGAACGCGAGCTACATGGTAGGCGGAGTGAGGGGTGTAAGGTTTTTTTCGTTACAGAATTTCTTGATTCGGTCGCTGCGCTCAAATCACGCGATAAAATCTATGCAATAGCTTCAAAAGCGACACAAAAGAACACTAATCTTTTAGAATCAAACAACGGAATTATTTTCAAGTAACGTATTCTTTATTTCATAAAATAAGTTATTAATATAGTTAAGGTGTATGCGTTTTATTCATTTATCTTAATGTTATGTATATATTCTTCGAAAAACTAAAATGATTTTTGGAACTTTATTTATTTTAGTTCGGTGCGTTTTCTTGATCGCCAAAAAAAAAAACATTAATCGTTCGTTTTGTAAACTAATATATTTAAATCAAATATTACCAATCGGATGTGTTTGAGCGAGAGGGAACCAATAGCAAATCCAGCTGGAGCTCAGCGCTTTTATGTCTTAGTCGCGACCCTCCCTTGCTTCGCTTCGGAAATTGTAATTGATTATTGATTTCTCCACTATTTAATGGATGTTATTATACATATAAACCTTCCTCTTCAATCACTCTATATATTAAAAAAACCGCATCAAAATCCGTCGCGTAGTTTTAAAGATTTAAGCATACATAGGGATATAGGGACAGAGAAAGCGACTTTGTTTTATACTATGTAGTGATTAATTTGAGATTTCAAGAATTACGTCAAATGGTTCCCTCTTGCTGTTTTCATCCGGTTTGCGTTCACTGACTGATCCCTGTGATATTAGTTTTATGCGTGTGGTATTCAATAAAGTTTTTATAACATTTTCATTTTGTGTGTTTTTTGTTTTTCCTTTTATTGCTTCTGTGGGTGGACGAGCTCACGGCCCACCTGGTGTTAAATGACTACCGCAGCACACAGACATTTACAACGTAAATGACGACACCCACCTTGAGATATGAGTTCTAAGGTCTCAGTATAGTTAAAACGGCTGCTCCACCCTTCAAACCGAAACGCATTACAGCTTCACGGCAGAAATCGGCAGAGGGTGGTGATACCTACCCGTGCGGACTCACAAGACGTCCTACCATCAGTAAAATCTCAACTATGCCTGTATCTATTTTATTTATTTATCTATACTAATATTATAAAGAGGAAAGATTTGTTTGTTTGTTTGTTTCGAATAGGCTCCGAAACTACTGGACCGATTTGAAAAATTCTTTTTCCATTAGAAGCCGACATTGTCCCTGATGAACATAGGCTACTTTTTTTATTATTATTATTGTTATTTTTTTTTCATGTGTGTTTTAATGTTTCCGAAGCGAAGCGAGGGCGGGTCGCTAGTTATTTATAAAAAATAAGCAGTAAAATTACGGTTATTCCCGTATATTGGTTGTTCGTAGTGCTTAATGTCATTTTCTAAATAATTTTTAAACAAAAATCTCATTATCGTGTTGTAGAAGTACCGTATTATATAAGACAGTTTTGGGGATTTTTTCTTTTCGCGTTAGAGTGGAACCGTGTTGTAAAATACCGTGTTATAGGAAGATTACCTTTACCTGTATCTATTGCTCATGACGGTAATCTTCCGTCATCGAAGCTTGAAACAGTTGTTAGGACTTTTTAGCGGGAACGCGAGGAGTGAAATTGTGTGATTTGTTTTATTTTGTCTATTTAGTGTTTCTTCGGGTTTAAATGTGTAATAACGGTGGTTTATTAACCGTTTAATATCTGTGAAAGTGCACAAATGTGGGAAAATGAAACAAAGCCGCTGGACGTAACTTCTCGGGATCCTCTAAAAAGTCCACCGATCTGACCTGAATCTCAGTAAATGACCACCACTTTATTACACCATGCAATAGCTTAAAATTGACGGTAAATATTTTTTTTATTATATAACCGTAGCTTAAAACTAAGTCTCTCTTAATAATATGGAAACTATAATAATTATATCAATTTGTTTATATATAAAACTTTCATATTCTAGTATTACTGTAAATATGTGGAATGTGTCATCAGAAGTCGTCTCCTTTTCGCCTTTTATGTCTTCAGAGAATTCGTAATTATGAATTAATAAGAACATTAGTGTCTATTAGTTTTTCTACGGTTTAAATATTTCAGGTGATCTTCGTCGTCTTCGTATAGAGTATTCTCTATCCATCTCATGAATGCTTCCACCTGTTAGAATGTAGGAACAAAATTATTATTTTGTCATCGATCCGTGATACGTGCGCACGTTTTCAAATTAATCGGAAATTTTGAAGTTAGTGAAAAATATCTTAAAAGATTCCGTTACGTAGGTAAAGATCGAATTATAATATTAAAGCGTTTTAAAATACTTACTTTAGTGTATACATCAGGTTTGCCTCTCGCGCAAGGTATGCCCCATGACACCACGCCAACCTGTCTCCCTTCCCTGACCAGAGGTCCTCCTGAGTCGCCCTAGTTGGAAAAAATAATGTACAGTGGGCTAAAAGTGGACAGGGCAATAATAACTCCTAAAATCTAAAATCAGCGCCATCTAGGGAACGCGGCGCGTAAATAATAGCACTTTTAATACACAACTGCATTTAAATAGGGCCGTTATCTACTTTTTTTAGGATTAGAGATTGCTAGCATCTTGGAGGCCTTTTCAGCAGGATGGATGGGATTTGGTACGAATTCCTCGAAGGCCTCCGAAGTTATTGTATCCGCAGTAAGTATAACTATCGGAGCGAAACCACATTACTTACTGCGCATGTAGCTAATAAAACTCGCCAACGCCATCTATTTTATCATACATGCAATTCAAACAAGATCTGAATTTTCTTTTTTTCTATCTATGCTGATAGCCTTGAGAGGCTATACTTGAGAGGCTATATCAGCTTCATCCTAGGATGTAGGTGAGCTCACGGAGCTCAAACCGCAGTGTTGTTAACACTGGCTCTAGCAAGAGCAGTGCTTCGCAGAATCTAGCACCGGATCGGAAACGCGACCTACTGAGAAGATCCGGCGAGAAACTCAGTGGGCTGTGTCTGTGGGTTGATTCGTTCGTCGAGCCCTCTCATCTTACTACGTTGTTTTAAAGCTAACAAATCAGTCTCTAGTTTTCTATTTACGTTTGTATGAAAAGTTTGCCTAATTGTTTTGCATAAATATTTATCTAAAACTCATCACTTTGATGCTGTTTATGTGCCCGTCAGTCTATTTTGAAACTCACGTGACAGGCTCCTTCGCCAGCTTTAGTTAAAGCACAAATCTGAGTCTCGAAGACAGCGTTGACGCTTTCGTGAGCTTGCTTACAGTCCTCATAGGTGATGGCCTTTAGGTCTATCTCCATCAAATCATTCGGGAGTCGACCGGGATACTAGAATTATAGTAATTTATTTAGTATCTTAAGCACATCAATATTGAGTTCATATTTAAGTATAACTTTATGTTTGTTTCTCTTTAGGCCATGAAAATATATTATTTTCAGCCCACAAACGCCCACTGCTGGACATAGGCCTCCCTCAAGATTTACCACAATGATCAGTCACCGTGGATTTTTTATTTTATTGCATAGCTGGGTGGACGAGCTCACAGCCCACCTGGTGTTAAGTGGTTACTGGAGCCCATAGACATCTACAACGTAAATGCGCCACCCACCTTGAGATATAAGTTCTAAGGTCTCAATTATAGTTACAACGGATGCCCCACCCTTAAAACCGAAACGCATTACTGCTTCACGGCAGAAATAGGCAGGATGGTGGTACCTACCCGTGCGGACTCACAAGAGGTCCTACCACCAGTAATTACGCAAATTATAATTTTGCGGGTTTCATTTTTATTACACGATGTTATTCCTTCACCGTGGAAATAAATCGTGAACATTTGTTGAGTACGTATTTCATTAGAAAAATTGGTACCCGCCTGCGGGATTCGAACACCGGTGCATCGCTCGACACGAATGCACCGGACGTCTTATCCGTTAGGCCACGACGACTTTATTTAGTATCTTAAGCACATCAATATTGAGTTCATATTTAAGTATAACTTTATGTTTGTTTCTCTTTAGGCCATGAAAATATATTCTTTCCAGCCCACAAACGCCCACTGCTGGACATAGTCCTCCCTCAAGATTTACCACAATGACCAGTCACCGTGGATTTTTTATTTTATTGCATAGCTGGGTGGACGAGCTCACAGCCCACCTGGTGTTAAGTGATTACTGGAGCCCGTAGACATTTATAACTCAAATGCGCCACCCACCTTGAGATATAAGTTCTAAGGTCTCAGTATAGTTACAACGGCTGCTCCACCCTTTAAGCGGAAACGCATTACTGCTTCACGGCAGAAATAGGCGGGGTGGCGGTACCTACCCGTGCGGATTCACATGAGGTCCTACCACCAGTAAATCACCATTTGTTTAACTGTATCTCTTGTTATGCCCCAGACAGTTGCGGACTTAATGTCTAAGGCATTTTCTAGCAATCAACAAAGGGGTGTAAAGAGAGAGCATACAACAGTGTCAGTGAATACGCTTCTTAAACTCACAGAGGTCGTGCCCCAACCGGTCAGTACCAAATCCTCTCCCTTCTCAACTGGCTCGTCGTTCAGCTCAATAGCATCAACTTTGCTACCAAATTCTATTTCGTCTTCAGTAAACACTATGGCTATGTCGTTCTTGATTATATAGTCATCGTAGTTTTCGTGGACGACCACTTTTCGTATGGCATAGGACGTGCCTCCAGCCCGTAGCTGGTTTGTGCCGACTGTCGCCTTGAAATATTCCGGTTTCAATCTGTAACGTGGGAGATTGGTTAAGACACGTTTTCGGACTTTTCTTGAAGCTTCGCTTGATATCGCATCGCTTGATACTAATAAACCGGACGTATTATCCTTTAGGCCGCGATGACCTCTTAAGAATCAGAGCAGTTCAGCACTTCAGCTAAAGAGTTACAGGAGTCGATCAATAACAAAGCCGCTAATGGCAGACAGGGAGTCCACACAGTAATAGAATCAAAGACAGCGGTTTCAGCAAATTCAGCTGTAGGCAGCGGTTTGGCTCTGCCCCTGCTATTGCTGAAGTCCATGGGCCACGGTAACCACTCACCATCAGGTGGGTCGTATGCTCCTCTGTCTACTAGGGCAATAAAAAAAAAATAATAAAGACACAGTATATTGGTTGAACAACTTAATTAGATTATTATCTCATTGTACACCTTAGCAGTTTTAGGGATTTTAAGGTTTGGACATAAGATCATATGGATACATTCCCGGATCAATTGTATATAACGTTCATAGTTGTGACAAGAATCCGTGATACCAGCTATTAAGCTTGAAAATTTCAAATTTGTGTTTGATATGTATCTGACCCTATCTAGAATGAGTGGTGTATATTCAAATACATAGTTGATCTAAAAATAAAATAGTGTTCGAGACGCTAGGGAAAAAACAACAATCCATATACGATTTACATCGTATGTTGGATTACACATTTCCAGACTCGAGATATGTCTCGAAGAATTTCAATCGACATCTTTGCAGATGTAGACAAAAAACTTTCTAGAATTTCGTATGGAGGGTAGAAGTAAAGAGTACCATATCAGTGTTTTAAAAAGTGTCCGCTTAAAGGGAGTCAATTAAAGTGGCGTTACAGTAGCAAGTGGAAAGATTTAAAAAATTGCACCATAAACCACCACATTTCACTCTGCTTAAAACTACTAAAGAGTAAGTAAGAGTAACGCCATCTATCGCCGAATAGTCGAACGAATATCGAAAGATTTAGTAGCACCTAGAACGGTCGAGAAGTACAATGCCATCTATTGTGAGATAGCGGAAACAATACGATGTGTGAAATATTCTCGATAATTCTAGGGATTTGGTATCGACTATAAAAGCGTTGCAGGGATGGCACGCAGTCCGTTAACAATCGGAACTACTCGAAGCGAAACAGCGAACGGATCACCTGAAGTGAAGCGGAAGAAGCGAATTGAGAATTTTAAAGTGTTTGGGAAGTATTTTAAGTATTGAATACAGTTTTTAGTTTTACTTTGGTGGAATTTTATTTATCCCAAACCCCAGCGTAACAATACATATCATATCAATTTCCTACACTAGCGTTATTGCGATGAGTCTTCCAACAATGGCTTGCTGTTTACATGTGGACACTTTTTCAACTTGTCCCCTATACGAGAAAGTGCTTCTTACTTTTACCCTTTCTAGAATTTTCTTAGCACCTGTCAACGCAATGTGCAGCTGTCAAAATGACCCTCGGCGTGACCAGCGACGCTCCGCAGAAGTGCCAGACTCCGTACAGCCTCAAGGAGACCTGGTAAGGGTAAGATCCGTTCGCCGCCTTCGTTCCACCGACGATCCGCTCCCAATCATCACGTTTCTCGGCTGAGGAGAACAGCTCCGAAGTTACTGTGGATATATTAAAAACTGAAGTTTCAACGACGGGGGTATATGACTATTAATACATGTGGGATCCTCTATTCGGTTTAGGCCAGTGAAACGGTCGATGGTTTCATACAAACTTTATTTTTATTTCGTCTTTCTTATTACAAGTAAATAAAATATCAAGGTCAGCTAGGTCAAGTAGGTGAGCTCACGGGCTCAACCTGACAGAATTTACTAACATTAGCCCTAGTCAGAGTACCTAGTGCTTCGCTGAATCTACCACCGGATCGGAAACGCGATCCACTGACAAAATCCGGCGAGAAATCAGTGGTTTCGGCGATTTCGAGAAATTGGTACGACATGAGAACCCTCTCATCGTGGCCGCCGGTAACTACATTCCCGATCCTGCGGACAAAATGGAAAGCAGTCAACGTCGCTAACGGTGCTTTTAGGTACCTCAAGCACCGGTCATCGTTCTCGTCGAACCCGTCGCTTGCGACGAAGGTCTCACCGAGTAAATTAACCCACAGACACGGCCCACTGAGTTTCTCGGCGGATTTTCTCAGTGGGTCCCTTTTCCGTTCCGATCGTAGATTCTGCGAAGCACTGCTCTTGCTAGGGTTAGTGTTAGCAACGACGTCAGGTTTGAGCCCCGTGGGCTCACCTACTAGTTAAGGCTACGCTGAAATGGTCTCACAAGATCATCAGCTTAGATAGGGAAAAAAAAGGTTCGAAGAGTAGGTCCATCTATACTAATATTATAAAGCTGAAGAGTTTGTTTGTTTGAACCCGCTAATCACAGGAACTACTGGTCCGATTTGAAAAACTCTTTCGGTGTTAGATAGCCCACTTATTGAGGAAGGTTATATATAGGCTATCGGCATCACGGTAAGACCAATACAAGTGGAGCACCAATAATGAAAGTTTCAAAATATTTTCACTTTCTACGTAAATGAAGTGGGGGGTAAAATTTAGCGTTATGCCAAAGTAATTATTCCACGCGGACGGAGTCGCGGGCAAAAGCTAGTCCCGCATAAAACTAGCCTTTGTGATTAATCACTTAACAGCTAAAGGGTCTTAACGTGGTTCATATATTAGTGCGACACAAATGCATTGTCCGGCTTTGAATTATTAATGTATGCCTTCCTCTTCCTTTAATCGTGTTCCTCAGTGCTTCAGCACTCGATCTTCAGATCATTCTTTCCTGTCCCCTACGCAGCGGATAGCAATATTCATGATGACGTCATAACGTCATCTTAATTTGGTTCCTATTAACTATAAAATTTGACACGTATGCGAACCACAATATAATGACTAGGGCAAATTGAATTGAAATTTATAATATATATCTAATTGGTCATAGCATAATTCTCATATAATTTTTAATCTATATATTAATACGTGCAGAAAAATCTTTGTACCCCTTTTTACGAAAATTGCGCGCACGGAGGAGTATGAAATTTCCACACTTATCTATACTAATATTATAAAGAGGAAAGATTTGTTTGTTTGTTTGTTTCGAATAGGCTCCGAAACTACTGGACCGATTTGAAAAATTCTTTTTCCATTAGAAGCAGATATTGTCCCTGATGAACATAGGCTACTTTTTTTAATTTTTTTTTTTTTTTGGTTTCATGTGTGTTTTAATGTTTCCGAAGCGAAGCGAGGGCGGGTCGCTAGTAGTTTATATAGAGAAGGAGTGCAGAGTGTTATTCTTTTTTTAATTGGGCATAAAATTACTTTAAATCAATACAAAAAACATTACACACATCGACACACCCACGCACTCTTTTGTTTATTGTTAAACTCTATGGTCAAATTGAGAATAGAATAATATTGTTTGTTTTCAATATTATTTATCTATAGTGTAGCCTTGGCGAAATTTATTATTATAGAGGTCTATGATAGTTTTTGACAACAGATCCTTAATAATGTTCAAATTTATAATTTAAATTAATTGTAGTTAAATTTCGATTACCGGGCGACCACTGGTTAATGTACAAGGATGATTATGTAAGCATTTTAGGGAATTGACCAGAGTTAATTTAAAAAAGATTGTCAGAAGTGGGATTCGAACCCACGCCCACAGAAGTGGACTGCGACCTGAACGCAGCGCCTTAGACCGCTCGGCCATCCTGACCCACACAAGATGAACGAAATTATAGATTACATCAACAACTAGAACAACAATAAAGTCTGGTTACTATATAATTATTATATTGTGTGGGTGGGCTGTGAGCTCGTCCACCCATCTAAGCAAGAAAAAAGGAAAAAAACGTATTCACATTGCGATGTAATGCTAAATTGTAATGGGACCACACGGGAAGCGTCAACTTTCTAATAAAAAAAAGAATCATCAAAATTGATTCACCCAGTCAAAAGTTATGAGGTAACAAACATAAAAAAAAACATACACTCGAATTGAGAGCCTCCTCCTTTTTTGAAGTCGGTTAAAAAGCGATCATGACGAACATTTTTCAAACGTCGGAAATGATTAAGTAAGAATCGAATTATAAGGTAACATATTTTGAATTATATGATTCACGACTCATATCCTAATTGAAAAATGTAGGTATTCTGGTGGTAGGACCTCTTGTGAGTCCGCACGGGTAGGTACCACCACCCCCCCTATTTCCGCCGTGAAGCAGTAATGCGTTTCGGTTTGAAGGGTGGCGCAGCCGTTGTAACTATACTGAGATCTTAGAACTTATATCTCAAGGTGGGTGGCGCATTTACGTCGTAGATGTCCATGGGCTCCAGTAGCCACTTAACATCAGGTGGGCTGTGAGCTCGTCCACCCATCAAAGCAATAAAAAAAAAAGTCTACGTTTGTGGACTCACTTCAACTAAGTGTCGAAAACAATTGCAAACAAGTAATTGTACTCACCAAAGACAGTGTTAATTAAGTATATTATTATGGATGTTAAAAATAAAGATCGCTTCATCGTGTCCGTTGTAAAGTTGTTACGATAATACTGAAAGAAACAATTCCAGCTCGACTTTATATAAAAAAAAATGTTCAAATCAAATGACTTTGACGCAAATGAAAAATGTTTGGGCTGAATTTTTATGTAAGCACCCGTATCTTTTGTAATGTACGACAGAAATTATTATAATTTAGTTTTTACAAACACAGATTTATAGTATTTTAGCGAAAAATACGGTAAACACTTTGTCTGTAGTAGAGAAGCTGAGAAGTGCGCGTTTGGGATGGTATGGACATGTGATAAGACGAAATGAAAATGAGGTTGGTTAGAGTATGTTAACTATGAATGTGGAAGGATATAGAGGAAGAGGTAGACTTAAGAAGAAATGGATGGGTTGCGTGAAAGACGATATGTATAAGAGGGGAGTGAGCGAAGAAATTGTATATGATAGAAGAGAACGGAAGGAGAAAACATGTCACGCCGACCCCAGGTGACTGGGAGAAGGGCAGGAGAATGATGATGATGACTTTGTCTGTAGTAGTAGTACTAGTAGTAGTAGTAGTGGTACTAGTAGTAGTAGTAGTAGTAGTATATGACTCTCGTCTAGATTTAGGATGTAGGTCGGGTTTTGGTGTCTGTGGTGAATGTATGAGAAGATTTTGGGATTTATACAGAGCTGCAGATGACTGTGTCTATAGCAGTATAGTCAAACCGATAGCCGGTTAAATGTAGGACGGATCTGACGGGGCTTAGAAAAGTTCGAACTCTTTTTTTGCATAGGTATGTGGTTACTGGAGCACACAGACATCTATAACGTAAATTCCGCCACCCGCCTTGAGACATGAGTTCTAAGGTCTCAGTATAGTTACAACGGCTGCCCCACCCTTCAAACCGGAACGGCTTACTGCTTCACGGCACAAATAGGCAGGGTGGCGGTACCTACCCGCGCGGTTTCACAAGAGGCCCTACCACGAGTAGAAACCTATCAGACATAGCTAGCGTACCTGGAATACCCCTATAGGTCGACAGGTGTAAGTTCAATAACACGTATTTTATGAAAATTTCTTAAAAACATAATACACAAGACTTGAATTTTCATAATTCGTCATGCCGTGGTGATGAAGCTACCCGCGCGGTTTCACAAGAGGTCCTACCACCAGTATAGAGCTACACAGCTACACAGCAGTATAGGGCTCTCTTAAATGAGGCCGACCTTATATAGAACCTTAGGTACGAATTGTAATTCAACTTGTCAAACAGGATGTAAGCTATTTGCTCTCATTTGTAATTCAGTTCGGATAGTGTACCGTTTGCAGTGACAATGGTAATGATTGTTCGAATCCAAATCGCCGTCTTCAACCATGGAGTCTCGGTCCAATATTACCTGGACGTTCATGGACTAGGTTTTTTTTTTTTTTTTTTATTGCCCTTGTGGACAGACGAGCATACGGCCCACCTGATGGTGAGTGGTTACCGTCGCCCATNGGAGCCAATCAGGCGCATAACGCATTTCGTGTGACATGCTAGTACGATTTTGATTGGCGCGCGCACGCATCACGCAATCAGGAGCCAATCAGGCGCATAACGCATTTCGTGTGACATGCTAGTACGATTTTGGTCCCCATAATTTTCATACCCCGGGCCTATATATGTAAATCGATTCTAAAGGAGTAAACTCCAAAAACAACAATCCATGTACGATTTACATCGTATGTTGGATTACACATTTCCAGACTCGAGATATGTCTCGAAGAATTTCAATCAACATCTTTGCAGATATAGACAAAACACTTTTTATAATTTCGTATGGAGGGTAGAAGTAAGGAGTACCATATCAGTGTTTTAAAAAGTGTCCGCTTAAAGGGAGTCAATTAAAGTGGCGCTACAGTAGCAAGTGGAAACATTTAAAAAATAGTGCCATAAACCACCACACTTCACTCTGTTTAAAACTGCTAAAGAGTAAGAGTAGCGCCATCTATCGCCGAATAGTCGAACGAATGTCGAAGGATCTAGTAGCACCTAGAACGGTCGAGAAGTACAACGCCATCTATTGTTAGATAGCGGAAACAATACTAGATATGTGTGGAATATTCTCGATAATTCTAGGGATGTGGTGTCGACTATAAAAGCGTTGCAGAGGTGGCACGCAGTCACTTAGCAATCGGAACTACTTGAAGCGAAACACCTGAAGCGAAGCGGAAGAAGCGAATTGAGAAGTTTAAAGTGTTTGTGAAGTGTTTTAGTGTTCTAAGTGTTGAATACAGTTTCTAGTTGTACTTTAGTGGAATTTTATTTATCCCGAACCCCAGCGCGTAACAATACATATCATATCAATTTCCTACACCAGCGCTATTGCGCTGAGTCTTCCAACAATAACTTGCTGTTTACATGTGGACACTTTTTCAACTTGTCCCCTATACGAGAAAGTGCTTCTTACTTTTACCCTCTCTAGAATTTTCTTAGCACCTGTCAACGCAATGTGCGGCTGTCAAAATGACCCTCGGCGTGACCAGCGACGCTCCGCAGAAGTGCCAGACTCCGTACAGCCTCAAGGAGACCTGGTAAGGGTAAGATCCGTTCGCCGCCTTCGTTCCACCGACGATCCGCTCCCAATCATCACGTTTCTCGGCTGAGGAGAACAGCTCCGAAGTTACTGTGGATATATTAAAAACTGAAGTTTCACTGCCGGGGGTACATGACTATAAATACATGTGGGATCCTATATTCGGCTTGGGCCAGTGAAATAGTTGATGGTTTCACACAAACTTAATTTTTATATCGTCTTTCTTCTTACAAGTAAACAAAATATCAAGGTCAGCTAGGTCAAGTAGGTAAGCTCATGGGCGCATTCTGACAGAATTAACTAACATTAGCCCTAGTCAGAGTACCTAGTGCTTCGCTGAATCTACCACCGGCTCGGAAACGCGACCCACTGACAAATTCCGGCGAGAAACTCAGTAGTTTCGGCGCTTTCGAGATTTTGGCACGACATGAGAACCCTCTCATCGTGGCCGCCGGTAACTACATTCCCGATCCTGCGGACAGAATGGAAAGCAGTCAACGTCGCTAACGGTGCTTTTAGGTACCTCAAGCACCGGTCATCGTTCTCGTCGAAACCGTCGCTTGCGACGAAGGGCTCACCGAGTAAATTAACCCGCAGACACGGCCCACTGAGCTTCTCGGCGGATTTTCTCAGTGGGTCACTTTTCCGTTCCGATGGTAGATTCTGCGAAGCACTGCTCTTGCTATGGTTAGTGTTAGCAACGACGTCAGGTTTCAGCCCCGTGGGCTCACCTACTAGTTAAGGCTACGCTGAAATGGTCTCACAAGATCATCAGCTGAGATAGGGAAAAAAAAGGTTCGAAGAGTAGGTCCATCTATACTAATATTATAAAGCTGAAGAGTTTGTTTGTTGGAACCCGCTAATCACAGGAACTATTGGTCCGATTTGAACAATTCTTTCGGTGTTAGATAGCCCATTTATTGAGGAAGGTTATATATGTATAGGCTATCGGCATCACGGTAAGACCAATACAAGTGGAGCACCAATAATGAAAGTTTCAAAATATTTTCACTTTCTACGTAAATGAAGTGGGGGGTAAATTTAGCGTTATGCCAAAGTAATTATTCCACGCGGACGGAGTCGCGGGCAAAAGCTAGTCCTGCATAAAACTAGCCTTTGTGATTAATCACTTAACAGCTAAAGGGTCTTAACGTGGTTCATATATTAGTGCGACACAAATGCATTGTCCGGCTTTGAATTATTAATGTATGCCTTCCTCTTCCTTTCTACGTGTTCCTCAGTGCTTCAGCACTCGATTTTCAGATCGTGACCATTCTTTCCTGTCCCCTACGCAGCGGATAGCAATATGACGTCAAAATGTCATCTTAATTTGGTTCCTATTAACTATAAAATTTGACACGTATGCGAACCACAATATAATGACTAGGGCAAATTGAATTGAAATTTATAATATATATCTACTTGGTCATAGCATAATTCTCATATAATTTTTAATCTATATATTATTACGTGCAGAAAAATCTTTGTACCCCTTTTTACGAAAATTGCGCGCACGGAGGAGTATGAAGTTTCCACTTATAGTTTATATAGAGAAGGAGTGCAGAGTGTTATTCTTTTTTTAATTGGACATAAAATTACTTTAAATCAATACAAAAAAACATTACACACATCGACACACACACGCACTCTTTTGTTTATTGTTAAACTCTATGGTCAAATTGAGAATAGAATAATATTGTTTGTTTTCAATATTATTTATCTATAGTGTAGCCTTGGCGAAATTTATTATTATAGAGGTCAATGATAGTTTTTGACAACAGACCCTTAATAATGTTCAAATTTATAATTTAAATTAATTGTAGTTAAATTTTGATTACCGGGCGACCACTAGTGAATGTAAAAGGATGATTAGGTAAGCATTTTAGGGAATTGACCAGAGTTAATTTAAAAAAGATTGTCAGAAGTGGGATTCGAACCCACGCCCACAGAAGTGGACTGCGACCTGAACGCAGCGCCTTAGACCGCTCGGCCATCCTGACCCACACAAGATGAACGAAATTATAGATTACATCAACAACTAGAACAACAATAAAGTCTGGTTACTATATAATTATTATATTGTGTGGGTGGGCTGTGAGCTCGTCCACCCATCTAAGCAAGAAAAAAGAAAAAAACGTATTCACAATGCGATGTAATGCTAAATTGTAATGGGACCACACGGAAAGCGTCAACTTTCTAATAAAAAAAAGAATCATCAAAATCGATTCACCCAGTCAAAAGTTATGAGGTAACAAACATAAAAAAAAACATACACTCGAATTGAGAGCCTCCTCCTTTTTTGAAGTCGGTTAAAAAGCCATCATTACAAACATTTTTCGATCGTCGGAAATGATTAATTAAGAATCGAATTATAAGGTAACATATTTTGAATTATATGATTCACGACTCATATCCTAATTGAAAAATGTAGGTATTCTGGTGGTAGGACCTCTTGTGAGTCCGCACGGGTAGGTACAACCACCCCGCCTATTTCCGCCGTGAAGCAGTAATGCGTTTCGGTTTGAAGGGTGGGGCAGCCGTTGTAAATATACTTGAGACCTTAGAACTTATATCTCAAGGTGGGTGGCGCATTTACGTCGTAGATGTCCATGGGCTCCAGTAGCCACTTAAGATCAGGTGGGCTGTGAGCTCGTCCACCCATCTAAGCAATAAAAAAAAAGTCTACGTTTGTGGACTCACTCACTTCAACTAAGTGTCGAAAACAATTGCAAACAAGTAATTGTACTCACCAAAGACAGTGTTAATTAAGTATATGGATGTCAAAAATAAAGATCGCTTCATCTTGTCCGTTGTAAAGTTGTTACGATAATACTGAAAGAAACAATTCCAGCTCGACTTTATATAAAAAAATGTTCAAATCAAATGACTTTGACGCAAATGAAAAATGTTTGGGCTGAATTTTTATGTAAGCACCCGTATCTTTTGTAATGTACGACAGAAATTATTATAATTTAGTTTTTACAAACACAGATTTATAGTATTTTAGCGAAAAATACGGTAAACACTTTGTCTGTAGTAGAGAAGCTGAGCAGTGCGCGTTTGGGACGGTATGGGCATGTGATGAGACGAAATGAAAATGAGGTTGGTAAGATAGTGTTAGCTATGAATGTGGAAGGATATAGAGGAAGACGTAGACCTAAGAAGAAATGGATGGATTGCGTGAAAGACGATAGGTGTAAGAGGGGAGTGAGCGAAGAAATGGTATATGATAGAGGAGTACGGAAGGAGAAAACATGTTGCGCCGAATCCAGGTGATTGATAGAAGGACAGGAGAATGATGATGATGATGACTTTGTCTGTAGTAGTAGTAGTATATGACTCTCGGCTAGATTTAGGATGTAGGTCGGATCTTTTGGTGTTTCTGATGAGTAAAAGAGAAATTTTCGGGTTTGATACAGAGTTGCAGACGACTGTGTCTTTACTAGTCTAATAAAGGACATTCAGTTAGATATAGGTTTTTTTTTATTGCCGTATAGGCAGACGAGCATATGGCCCACCTGATGGTGAGTGGTTACCGTCGCCCATGGACTTCAGCAATGCCAGGGACAGAGCCAAGCCGCTGCCTACCGCGGTCGGGTCTGAGAGTATCTGCGATAGGCTTAGAAGAGTTCAGAGTCCTTTATTGTGCATATCTGTGTGGACCAACTGATTTTAAGTGGTTATCGGAGTCCATAAGCATCTACAACGTAAATGCCGCCACCCACCTTGAGATATGAGTTCTAAGGTCTCAGTATAGTTACAGCGGCTGCCCCACCCTTCAAACCGAAACGCATGACTGCTTCACGGCACAAATAGGCAGGGTGGTGGTACCTATCCGTGCAGACTCACAAGAGGCCCTACCACGAGTAGAGACCTATCAGACATAGCTAGCGTACCTGGAATATCTCTATAGGTCGACAGATGTAAATTCAATATCACGTATTTTATGAAAATTTCTTAAACCCATAATACACTTGAATTTTCATAATTAGTCATGCCGTGGTGATGAACCCACCCGCGCGGTTTCACAAGAGGTCCTACCACCAGTATAGAGCTACACAGCTACACAGCAGTATAGGGCTATCTTAAATGAGGCCGACCTTATATAGAACCTTAGGTACGAATTGTAATTCAACTTGTCAAACAGGATGTAAGCTATTTGCTCTCATTTATAATTCAGTTCGGATAGTGTACCGTTTGCAGTGACAATGGTAATGATTGTTCGAATCCAAATCGCCGTCTTCAACCATGGAGTCTCGGTCCAATATTACTTGGACGTTCTTGGACTAGGTAAGGTAAGTGCTACCGATACTATTGTACCGATACTATTCATTTCCACGGTGAAGGAACAACATCGTGTAATAAAAATGAAACCCGCAAAATTATAATTTGTGTAATTACTGGTGGTAGGACCACTTGTGAGTCCGCGCGGGTAGGTACCACCGCCCTGCCTACTTCTGCCGTGAAGCAGTAATGCGTTTCGGTTAGAAGGGTGGGGCAGCCGTTGTAACTATACTGAGACTTTAGAACTTGTATCTCAAGGTGGGTGGCGCGTCTACGTTGTGGATGTCTATGGGCTCCAGTAACCACTTAACACCAGGTGGGCTGTGAGCTCGTCCAACCACCTAAACAATAAAAAAAAAGAAGAAAAAAAATTCCTTATTCGTAAATAGAATTTACTTATTTGGCAGTGTTTAGAGCAATTCTAAACATGAAGTTTGTATAACTGTTTTTTTGAATTTTGAAACAGAATAATATTTTTGACAACACAGTCATTGTAAGTCAATCAAGAATTCAGGTCGTACGTGCACGTGTTGTAACTACATTAAAGTAAAATAAAAATAACCTTCTCCCTGAATATATCGAATTATTGAAGCGACCAGCACAAATTACAGTCAACTACACAGGCAGGTCATAGAAAAAGACGTTGAAAAAAAAACTTTTTATTTGCCATATATAGCTGAGCTTACGGGCCACCGATTGGTGAGTGGTTACCGTCGCCCATGGTCGTCAGCAATGTCAACGGTACAGACAAACCGCTGTCTATCGTTTCGTGTTTTTCGTATCGACAAATGAGTCGTCTAATATCAAAGGTGGCAATCTGTGCATTTGGACAAAAAAATGTTATTTGATATGTCAATACAGATTGATTTGAATATAATCGTCTCCTTCAAAGAATACGGTTCAAAACCTGCATTAAATAAAGGTTAATAGTTAACCTGTTATTTATCTAAGATGTCGTTCCGAAGAGTTTTGTGACTGCCAATGGAATACAAAGTCAATAATTCGTTTTTCTGATTTACCAATAATTATCCAAAAGTCAGATTGCCGGCTTTGATAATAGTCGACTCAAATATGAGTCAGACAAGTAGTATGTATGAGAAACGAAAATAACTTGTCCAAGCTTCGTAGCTCGATGGCAGTGCAAGATAAAGAAGTGCACTGCACAAGTCGTATTGAACTGTAGCTATTTATACTAGTTTTGTGTTTGTATTCACTCGGTACTCACATCCTTACGGATCTATCAGATCCAATAACCCTTGCATTATCTGTCTTCAGCTCTAACACTAGGAACAGGCATAAGGACCCCGGTAACTGTACTCCTCGAACTCGACAAAGAGTTCGTCGTGCAACCTAACCCATGCATCAGCCCGCAGAGTTTCTCGCCGGATCTTCTCAGCGGGTCGCGATTCCGATTCGGTAGTAGATTCATTCGCGAAACAGCTGCTTTTGAGTTGTTAGGTTTCCTACAGAGGTGCTCGGGCAGCCGTTAGGTAATCCTACCCCTCCTGGCTGAGCCTTTGCTCGTCCACATGTCCTGGTAAAACTGGAAAGGCCTCCGGGCCACCAATAATCGTTTAATCATAAAAAATAATCTCGGTACGTTTACTTCTTACCTTATCACTCTGCTTATTTCTATACTATTACGCGCTGGGGTTCGAGATAAATAAAATTCTACCAAATTACAAGTTAACACTGTAATAGCTCTTAGAACATTTAAAACACTTCACAAACACTTTAAAATTCTCAATTCACTTCTTCTGCTTCGCTTTAGGTGATCCGTTCGCTGTTTCGCTTCGAGTAGTTCCGATTACTAGCTGACTGCGTGCCATCTCTGCAACGCTTTTATAGCCGATACCACATCCCTAGAAATAACGAGAATATTCCACACATTTCGAGTATTGTGTTTCCAATAACTGACAATAGATGGCGCTGTACTTCTAGAGCGTTCTAGGTGCTACTATATCCATCGATATTCGTTCGACTATTCGGCGAGAGATGGCGTTACTCTGACCGGATAGGATAGGATGGTGTGGTGTCTATGGAATCCAGACACCTCTTAATATCAGGCGGTCCGTCAGTTTGTTCACTTATCTGCGCACTTAAATACAGATGTAGACAAGGATGCGTTAGGCAAGTAGATCTCCAAAATTTCCTCCAAAAGCTTACGATCGCAACGAACAAACACAAGCATGTCGTATTTTATATATAATGTACAGTCACCAAAACTCATAAGTGAATTCCGACACGCGTTCCAAAGGGAAGTCTGCGTATACAATGTGCAATATTATGTCTTATTAAACGTTATTATCGTAAAGCGAATAGTTTATTACATATTACAGTTATATTTAATAAAGTTTATTAGCTATAATAACGCTAGTGACGGGACAACTTCGAGCAAATTTGTATTCGTTTGAGACTTTTATTGTTTTAACTTCAGCTCTGCGTCATGTACTATAAGTCTATACATTCGTGCATGATGCGTTTTAACACCTAATATTTAATAACAGTAATTATTTTTTATTGCTTAGGTGGGTAAGCCCATAGACATCTACAACGTAAATGCGCCACCCACCTTGAGATATAAGTTCTAAAGTCTCAGTATAGTTAAAATGGCTGCTCCACCCTTAAAACCGAAACGCATTGCTGCTTCACAGCAGAAATAGGCGGTGTGATGGTACCTACCCGCGCCGACTCACTATAGGATTCTACAACCAGTAATTACGCAAATTATAATTTTGCGGGCTTAATTTTTATTATACGATGTCATTCCTTCACTGTGGAAGTCAATCGTGAACATTTGTTGAGTACGTATTTCATTAGAAAATTTGGTACCCGCCTGCGGGATTCGAACACCGTTGCATCGCTACGAATGCACCGGACGTCTTATCCTTTAGGCCACGACGACTTCAAAACCACCGCCTTGCCTATTTCTGCCGTGAAGCAGTAATGCGTTTCGATTTGAAGGGTGGGGTATCCGTTGTAACTATATTGAGACCTTAGAACTTATATCTCAAGGTGGGTGGCGCATTTACGTCGTAGATGTCTATGGGCTCCAGTAACCACTTAAACTGTCAGTGCGGAATCAGGAAACTCCCTAAAACCTAGTAATTACGTATTGTTAGAGAATTATTTAACACAGCTCTAAGTAAAGAATGTTCAAATAACGAAAACCGTAACAAACATGAAGATGAAATCCTTAGGATTCCGAATATGAGAAAACAATAAACATTCCTTACGAAGTTGAACAATCAGGAGACAAATCGCTGACAGTGAAGTCGTGTAAAGATGTGGAACGTCATCTATATTATTCTAGTGTTTAATTGTAAGTTTTTTTTCACTAATTAATACGCATTGTTAAGCGCTGGAGTTCGGGATAAATAAAAGATTACCGAACTGCAAATTAAAAATCTATTTATCACTTAGAACACTTAAGGAACACTTTATATATGTGTATGTATGTATTTATGTATGTGCGTATGTTTTTTTTTTTTATTGCCCCTGTAGGCAGACGAGCATAC